ATATATATATATATATATATATATAATTGGCAACAAATCTTTAAAATTTATATTAAGGCTATATAATACCAGCTAAAAATTATCAAAAAACTAAGTTTTTTAGGCTTATATTGTTTGAAATATAAATTTAATATAAATATAAAGATAAATCTTTGCATTACATAAGAATTCAACTATCATAAAATAACATAATTTTTTATTTAACATAATTTTTTTAAGAAAGGAAATATTAATAATTAATATACCTTTTCTATAATAATCAACGACAAAAAATTTTGATTATAAAGACGCTCTGAGAGAAATCAACCATAAAAACAAAATTATACCAAACATAATTTAATTCACATTAACTTGATTATGCAGTGCAATATATATATGTCCATATTTTGCTACAGTTTTAGGTAAATAATTTTTAAACGAGTGAATAGATCCCAAATAAATTTTTGCACGAATATTTATTACAGTTTTATTAGTTATATATATATGTAGAAAAATGTAATTTGTAATGCTACTTTCTCAACAATTTGCAAATAAGTACAAAAAGCGATTTTATGTAAGAATTAATACAAACAAAAAATTAAACTACTTTTAAATCAGTAAGGTCCGATTACATCAACGTTATTTTAATCTTAAGCGAGACTTAAAACTCTGTTTCTCTCTCTTTTTAAAACTTAAGAAAGAGAGAAAAAAGAGAGTTCTGAGTCTCGCTTAAAATCAAAATAACGTTGGTGCAATCGCGTCTAAAAGAATTATGCTCAAATTTTACACAGATACTCAAACGTAATAATAGAATTATCTGTGTAAATTTATATGTTTTTGATAATGCCTTGAGATGTGACAGTTATAGTTATAATCAGTTCTTACAAATTTAGAATGATCTTAAGTTTAATTTTAAAATGTCATAAACCAATCACAGAGTATTGGCAACCTAATACTTAAGACAGTCTTCAAATAAAAACCGACTATGAATACCAAGCGCAACTGTTCTTTTAAGATCGTGTCATAATAACTACACTTTCTACATAATCTTTACAATTATAATCGTATTAAATACACTGCATTGTGATTGACATATCGTGTGATTGATATACATATATGATTTGATAAACAAAATTAAAAATTATTTTAAATCTCGAATCTGCGTATTTCAAATAACGCGCGCGATAACGTGGACGATATGCAATTGATGGATTTAATATTTACAATACGACAGGAATCTAATTGCGTTTCATAATTTTTTGAGTCAATCGTATGTATATGAATATCCGAGAGGTTCTCAATCGCGGGCAGTTCGATGAACTTCATTATCCGGTCTCTTCCAATTTTTTTCCATTTCGATAATGTCGTATCAGTTACGCGGACGATGTCTTTTATTACACTCAAGACATATCAACTCTGAATTCTACGCCTATAACGGAAAAACGTGACTTTTTTCCACTATATGAAATTAAAACAGAATTTTATATATATGTATATATATATATAT